TCAGAGAAGATATTAAAATACCAGGATTAATAAGAATTATTAGAAGTATTAATAAGAAGAGTGAAAGTATGTTCTAATACATTTTAATCTACTTGAAAAAAATCTGAAAGTTAATTTTCTTTCACTTTTGCAAATGTAATTGGGTTTAAAGAAAGAAATTGAGCACTTAACAGGTGGGTTTCTAATCTCATTTGTCATGACGGTAAACTGAAAACAAATGCAATTTTATACCAATGACTAAGATCTGCGTGGAGTTTAATTTGCACATTTAGGCGAAGGGGAAAGATGCATAACATAAATAGGATGATAATCCGTAAATGGTATCATCAGTCTTAATTTGTTTACACACAGTGTTGCTCACTATGCAAATAAAGTCCCTCTGAACATCTCGTGTGCAAATGGAGAAGGTTCCACATGTCCGTCAGCCCTTATCAGACCCTCATGTCAGTGCTGGGAGCTAAGTCAGCCTGGACCCAGCTAAGGCCGGCCAACATTGCCATCTGCAAGTGAAGCCATGTGTCTCTCCCTGACATCTGACTCCCTGATTATTATCCCCCTTTCAGAACATGCAGCGCAGGAAGCCCGATACTGGCCTGGTCTGTGTGTCCTCATGGGATGTGAAAGAAATAATCATATAACAGGTGCAAATTGAGCTATACTGTGAAAAGCACATAGTCACAATAGAAAACGAAAATCCTATGTTGAGATCCTGTTAAAGAATTAAGAAGTGGGCCTTCCTGGTGGCACAGGGGTTAAGTCTCAGCACTATCAAGCTATTGCCAGCCACTGTTGTCTGAGTTTGATCCTCGGCCAGGAAGCTGACCCACAGGGCACAGCAGACCTCTCCTGTCTCCCTGCTGCTCCCCTCAGCAGTGGATTTCAGTAGATCCACCTGTTCTGCTCCCCGCTTTGTCTCTGGTGGGTCCTCTCACTCCCGCACCTCTGGCCCACACCCCAGTTCTTGCATGCATAAATAAAAAAATAAATAAATCTTTAAAAAAATTAAAAGGTGAATGACATGAACTAATGAAACTATCTTTTATTTACTAAGTCCAGGAGAAGGACAAGCCAGGTTTCAGGACAAGTCAAGAAGCCACGTGAATTCAGATGAAAATGTCAATGTCTTGAGAAAAGCGACTCCACACACCTACACGCAGAACAGGCCCCTCAGTTGCTGTTCTGGCTGCAGTTCACTTTCCCCCTTGTGTTGTAGGATGCCACTGAGGAGGGAGGAGAAGGGGGGGTTGCAGATGTTGCAAATCAAAGCACAAGGCACCTGAGTATATTTGAATTGTACACGAACAATTAATACTGTTTTGGGTAAAAGAAGAATAGTCCCTAAGATAGAGAAGCTCCTTAGAATACCTACTGGTGAGATTTTGTGACCTTTATGATCTCATGTAAGACCTGAACTTCCTACCCCAGATGTCCAGGAGTGGGGTTCAGCTCTTCCTGAGCTCTGCCCCCCTGCACCCACTGAGGGCACCGGAGGCCTCGCACTGCTGATCAGCAACAATAGGACCCGTTGTCTTCTGGAAGGCACTGGAACAATGTGGGCTTGAAGAGACTGTCTGCATTTCTAGATGTAAATTTTACAGAAGAGCAAGCACTTTGTTTGAACTACATCATTTGTTAGATTGCCTGAGGCAGTGGAGTTAGACAATCCCCAGTGTTCGCTGCATTTCGCTCAGTTATCCATTAGCTTGTTTTGATTTTTGCTCTGAGAGGGCAAAGAAAAGAAGCAAGCCACAATATCTGTTCTAATACTCTTTTATGTTTGCAAATAAAATCTTTGGGAAAGGTCCTTGAGAAGAATAACCAATGTTTTTACGATGCTATGGGATACAACTAGACCTTTTATATAATGAGTCTCACATAGCAGCCCATGCTTTTCTACTCCCTGGCTGGACAGAACTGCACCAATTCTTGAGCAACACATAACCTTCTTAGTTTTTCATCTCTCCTTCATTTTGGTAAAATTCTTTGCTTAGTTAAAATGAATGACATTTTAAAATAATAAGCTTTTCAAATGTAGCTTCCATTTGCTATGTTCAGATAAAAGTTGGCTTGCGTATTACTTGAGTCAATTATCAAATCATTTAAAAATTCAAGAGTTTAATTTTATTTGAGAACTCGATTTAATGTACTTAAAATATAATAAGCGAATCACTGTTTCAAAAAAAGCAGTCTTATTTTCTCCCTAGGGTATTAACCCTCAGAGACTGCAAGATATTGGTGTCTCGCTTTTCTTCACTGGAAGAGCAATTGAGTATTTTCAGATAGACAGGCAGATAGACAGGCAGACAGACAGACAGAAAAACAGTATATTTATGGTCATCTATAAAAGATGGTCATCTATGGTCATCTATGGTCATTTATGGTCATCTGAAAAAACATGATGAATGCATATTTTTTTATTTTTAACTTATTTAAAAAGCAATTACATTAACCAGTATGTGTAAAGTAATACCGGACCTGTCACATATACAATTCTAATGTGGTCCCCAATAACAACACCCAGGAAGTGAGTGGGTATAAACTGGCTGGACTAAAGAACCTACTTGATATCTTACTTGACTCTGCAGGAACAAATGGAAGGATCCAGAAATGATCAAGAAGGTGTTTAATATGAAAAAGGATGAAATTTTAATTGCTCTCTTTTCTCCTCTGCGTTTCTTGAAAAGACATGACATTGTGTGAATCAATAATCATAAGGTCGGCTTTCTGCATTTATAAAGATAATATGTAACTAATATCACAAAAAAAGCATAGGGAAGCTGTACAGATGGGACTCTTTACTTACATTTTACTGGAATTAATTTAGTATCAAACTGAAGTTGCTTCTGGCAAGTCTGTGCATTTGGAGACTGCAGGACAAGCTCGCTCCGAGGGTGTGGTGGAGACCGGTGGTCCCTGGCAGTTGTGTTCTGTGGGTTTGTAGGAGGCTGGATTAGGGGAGATGGAACTGTGCCCCCCGGGAGACCTTCCTTGTTAGGTCATGGTGTCTGCTCCCAGCACCTCATCTGCTGTTTAAAGACACCTGACTTCGTGTCCATCGTTGATTCGCTCCCATTGCTGTCACTGTGAGTAGCTCTGTAACTCACGTGGGAGAAAACTTTATTTATTTTATGTGTAAGGCACGTCTCGTGCTAGAGGGCATAGCAGTAGATTCAGCAGTAGATTCAGAGGCCGTTTTTAAACAGTGACGTACCCACCAGCATCACACACTGCAAAAACCATATCCCTAGGTAGACATGGAAAGGGCATTGTTTACAGTATGAAAGCTGAAGTTGTAAGCGTGGCCCCTTAGATTCAACATTCCCCACCTTTCTGCATATGCACATTTCTGCAAAATCCCGAAAAAGTGCCATGGCTGTTGATTTGAGGTTTACAGATACATTTTTGCAAGTGGATGAACTTACAAACAGGGAAGTATGAATAATAAGGATCAGCTCTGACTCAGAAAGTCCCTGCTGAGCTGGAGACTCCCTTTGACAAGTGTCATTTAACATCTCTCCTTAGTCACCAGCCAGTGCGCCTGCCCACGTCTTCCAACGCAGCAGAGCTTGGCTGCTCCTTCTTGTCTGCACTCTGTTAATTTTTGTGTTTTATGAAGACTCTGTCTGATTCATATAATGTAGGACGTTGATATCTATGTTGCATGATATATCTTCTCCACATAAAATGTTATTTGGTTAAAAAATACAAAATGTGATGATCTTATGATATATATCCATATATGTATGTATGCTCCCAGCTGTATGGATGTGTCTGTTATGTGGTAGATTATGTGGCCATCAAAGTTGGAATTTAGTATTTGTTTAATTCTCGTCTTTATCAAAACACCAAGCCACACAATAGTTTTGAAAAGTATTAATGAAAATTCTGCATTTGGGGAGGCAAAATGAAAACATACTAAGTTTACTTTTAGTATTTAAGATATCATTTCAAATGATCCACCTACTTATTCCTTTGTTAAAATCAACATCTTTCTCAGTATCCATTGTAAAATTTATTTTCAGTTTATATTGTAAGGTTTAGAATATTTATTTGAGCTATTTCCTCAGGATGTTATAGAAAGGGAATGTGAATGGGGTAGCTGTTATCTTAGCTAATTCTGTCTGCCTCTGTTAACAATATCGATCCAGAAATAATAAGCCTTTTCTATTAGAAGAAACAATGAAATTCAGCATCTTAAAATGTAAGCTTAAAAAATCAACTTGTACGGCATTATTGAGGCCACGTCGTGTTTGCAGAGAAGTCAAGGAAACGTGTCCATTTCTGTGAATTATGGAGAGAAATCAGATGCACCCTGTGTAGCAGAACGTGCCCCCACAAAGAGCTGGCAGCTGAACATTATTTATTAAAAATGATGTATTAAAAATGATTCCTTGTTGGGTGACTAAAGAGTGTTAACTGGTCCATCAGTCATGGACGGGCCTTTTGGAGAGGTTGGGTGAGGGAAGGGGACAGACGACCCGTGAGACGTGCACGTTTCTGGGAAGTAGGTGCTTCTATGTAATGACCCCAAAATTTTAGAGTCATTTTGTAAACCAATAGATGGTGTCAGCTGTGTCACATGGGGATCCCAACCATGGACCTCCATGATGGGTAGGAGTTAGGAGAGGAGACAGTTGAGATAGTAAAGCCAATCAACATTTAACCAAACATTTTGAGACTCTTCTGTGGTCCTGTCTGCCCTTGTTTGCAGGAGATGGAACGTTAATAAAAACTGGGGCCTGGCTTTTGTAGAGTCATTCTACTACTACATTACTTTTAGACTCTTTGAAAATTCTGCAAACAATGTCATCTATGACCAAAATTTAGGGTAGAACAGAAGACATTTTGTTTCGGTCGGTATTGTTTTGGGTGATAGCTAATGAGACAGGAGTACAGCTACCCATTGGACAGTGACCTGTGACTACTAACGGGTCCTTTTGTGCATGCATCCTGGGTAGGATGTATACTGTGCACCGATTGAAGGACATTTTTCTTTCCAGGTGACCGAACTGCACAACATCAAGAACATAACCAGGCTGCCTCGGGAGACAAAGAAGCACGCAGTGGCCATTATCTTCCATGACGAGACGTCAAAGACATTTGCCTGTGAGTCAGGTAAGCAATTATGGGCCCGTCTAGAGCTGGAGGAAATTGAGCTGCTTCCGAGACAATGGCCCAGATGGATTAAGACGCAGCACTGAATGGGATGCGCATTGTGATGAGAATATACTGAGAGGACTTGTGTTAGATGCTCAACACGCTGATTCCTACAGATGTTTTGGGTGCTTGTTTATCATCTGTCTGTATCTGGAATTTGCTCCCAGGTGTTCTGAGAACCCTTGAGGTTCCCATTCAAGCTTTGAGAATGAAGCAGGCATTGCAGGGGGATAATGTTAGGGCTAGCTGTGGCCTGGGTCCTCTCTCGGAGTGCAGCTGGAGGTGCTGGGTCAGCGGTAATAACTGCCACGCACAGGCCCCCCAAGCATAGCCCAACTACCCCCCATGCACAAACCAGAACTTTGAGCAATGGTTCCTTTCATGGATTCTCAGTCCTACAAGTAAGTACATTTCAGATTGCATTTTACCGTCTCAGGCCATAAAGCACTCTGACATTATTGAGACACAAAGCAGTTTATCGTCTGAACTTGCAGTGGTTTTCATTTTGGAATCCCTGTGCTAGGTAATATATTAGTGGGCTTATTATAGCTTTTAAAGATTTTGCTCAATGAAATGGTGCATTCATTTTATAATGGATGGAAGCAAAAACTACTGAGAGTTTGAAAGATGGGGAGGTGGCATAATGCTTACGTCTTTCGGAGGAGCTTTATTATATTTTTAAAAAGGACTTTAACCCGGGCAGAAATTGGAAGGGTCTTATATTTCTTGGTTCATGTAAGATTTTTGAGTAACGAAGGGCTCTTTATTAAAGGAAAATGGACTTCATTTCCAAGAGAATAATTTTCTAATGGTGAGGTTGAAACTAGATCCAAATGTAAAAATAGAAGAACATTTTTGTTTAAATTCTAGCAGAAAGTTTTCCACTAATTTAAATCATGATTTATTTAAAGTGTTGTTTGTTTTTTTTAAAAACCACTTTCTATGTGTTAATATAATAGTCTGTTAGAAGCTACTTATAAGCAGTTTAGAAACCATGGAGGTGATGGTGATAATGCTGAGCGAAATAGTCAGGAGGAGAGTGACAAATACTAGCTGGTTCCACTTCTGTGTGTTTTCTCACTATAGAGAAACAAAACAAAGGGTCAGATAAAACTCAACCAATAACAAACCCTAGAAATCTGACTGTAGAACTGGGGCCACCAGAGGAGGCTGGGGAGGTGAGAGAACATAATGGAGATGGGGTGCAGTGGACTGTGGGGGCAGACTATGGGGCCCTGGTGATGGGTGTGATGGGGAAACACTGAAAGCTGCACCTCTGCCTCATATACAGAGCTGTGAACTGACTTTACCCCAATAAAAATAGAAACAATGTCACAGTTTTCAAACCATTTTTGTTGCCTGTCATATGCTGATGGGAAGAAAAAATGAAAGTTCTTGAAACTCATCAGTAAGGAATTTGAAGCCTTTTTCTTGCAAACTATAGTTTTAAATACATGCTGGAGTCCATATCTGGCAAATTTACATGGAAAATAGGACTCAGGCTGCAAAGCCACCAGGGAGGTGGCAGTCAAGATAGCAGTGAGATCAAAGCGGAGATGAAAGGAAACTTACATTTATTTCTTTTTTTTTTTTTTTTTAAATATTAAATTTTATTTTTATATTCCCCCATACAATTGCAAACGCCCCATTCTGACCCCAATCCTTCCCCTCCCGCCCCCCACCCCCCAAAAAGTGTCTCTGGTTCATAGTTTTTGTTGATTTTGATTTTCACTTTCTTATATTCATTTTCCTGGTCCCTTATTTAAGTTTTCTAGATTCCTGCTATGAGTGAGACCATCCGGTATTTTTCTTTTTCTTTTTGGCTTATTTCGCTGAGCATGATCCCTTCCAGCGCCATCCATGTTGCTGCAAATTGCATGTGTTTATCTTTTTTGAATGCTGAGTAATATTCCATGGTATATATGTACCACATCTTCTTGATCCAGTCATCTATTTTTGGGCATTTGGGTTGTTTCCAAAGCTTAGCTATTGTAAACAGTGCTGCTATAAACATAGGAGTGCAGGTGCTCTTTGGAATTGATGTTTCTGTGTCCTTTGGGTAAATACCTAGGAGTGGAATTGCTGGATCATATGGAAGCTCTATGTTTAGTAGGTCCAGAAATCTCCACACAGCTCTCCATAGTGGTTGGACCAGTTTGCACTCCCACCAACAGTGCACAAGAGTTCCTTTTTCTCCACATCCTCGCCAACATTTGTTGTTGCTAGTTTTTTTAATATGTGCCATTCTCATTGGTGTGAGATGGTATCTCATGGTAGTTTTGATTTGCATTTCCCTGATTACAAGTGATGTTGAACATTTTTTCATATGTCTGTTGGCCATTTGCATTTCCTCTTCAGAGAAGTTTCTTTTTAGCTCTTCTGCCCATTTTTTGACTGGATTATTTTCTTTGTTGTTGCTGAGTCTCATCAGCTCTTTGCAGATTTTTGTGATCAGTCCTTTATCATTAGTGTTGGGTGCAAAAATGTTCTCCCAGTTGGTGGGGTTTCTCTTTGTTTTTGTTATTGTCTCTTTTGCTGTGCAGAAGCTCTTTAATTTGATGTAGTCCCAGCTGTTTATCTTTCTCTTCACTATCACTGCTTTGGGTGATGTGTCTGTAAAGATGTCTTTGATGTGCAAATCCCGTAGTGTTTCGCCTATATTTCCTTCTATGTATTTTATGGTTTCAGGTCTTATGTCTAGTTCTTTAATCCATTTTGAGTTGATTTTTGTGTATGGTGTGAGGTAGTGGTCAAGCTTCATTCTTTTGCATGTAGCGACCCAGTTTTCCCAGCACCATTTATTGAACAAACTTTCTTTGCTCCAATGCATAGTCTTTGCTCCTTTGTCAAAGATTAGTTGACCATAAATCTGTGGGTTTATTTCTGGATTTTCTATTCGATTCCATTGGTCTGTATGTCTGTTCTTGTTCCAATACCATGCAGTTTTGATGATTATGGCTTTGTAGTATAGTTTGAAGTCTGGGAGTGTGATGCCTCCATTTCCTTCTTTTTTTTTCAGTAGAGCTTTGGCTATTCGGGGTTTTTGGTGATTCCATATGAATTTCATCAATAATTGTTCTATTTCTTTGAAGAATGCCATTGAGATTTTGATTGGAATAGCATTGAATCTGTATATTGCTTTTGGTAGGATGGCCATTTTAATAATGTTTATTCTTCCAATCCATGAGCAGGGGATGTCTTTCCATTTCTTTGTGTCTTCTTCTATTTCTTTTAACAGTGTTTTATAGTTTTCTTTGTATAGGTCCTTTACCTCTTTTGTTAGATTTATTCCCAAATATTTGATTTTTTTTTTCGATAATAAAAGGGGTGGTTTTTTTGATTTCTTCTTCTTCAGATTTATTGTTTGTGTATAGGAAGGCTACTGACTTTTGCGTGTTGATTTTGTATCCTGCCACTTTACTGAATTGATTGATGAGTTGAATTAGTTTTTCTGTGGAGATTTTGGGGTTCTCTATGTATATTATCATATCATCTGCAAATAGTGATAGTTTGACTTCTTCTTTTCCTATTTGGATTCCTTGGATGTCTTTCTCTTGTCTTATTGCTCTGGCTAGGACTTCCAGTATTATATTGAAAAGCAGTGGTGAGAGTGGACATCCTTGTCTTGTTCCAGATCTTAATGGAATTGCTTTCAGCTTTTCACCATTGAGAATGATACTGGCTGTTGGCTTGTCATAGATGGCCTTTATGATGTTGAGGTATGTTCCTTGTATCCCAAGAATTTCAAGGGCTTTTATCATGAATGGGTGTTGCACTTTGTCGAAAGCTTTCTCAGCATCTATTGATATTATCATATGGTTTTTATATTTCTTTTTGTTGATGTGTTGGATAACGTTGATTGATTTTCGGATGTTAAACCATCCTTGTGCCCCTGGAATGAATCCAACTTGGTCGTGGTGAATTATCTTATGGATACATTGTTGGATTCTGATAGCTAAAATTTTATTGAGGATTTTTGCATCAGTGTTCATTAGGGAGATTGGCCTGTAGTTTTCCTTTTTTGTGTTGTCCTTATTCGGTTTTGGTATTAGTGTAATATTGGCTTCATAGAACGTGTTTGGTATTGTCCCTTCCTTCTCAATTTTTTGGAAGAGTTTGTGAAGGATAGGCACTAATTCGTCTCTGAATGTTTGGTAGAATTCATTTGTAAATCCATCAGGTCCTGGGCTTTTGTTTTTGGGGAGGTTTTTAATTACCATTTCAATTTCGCTGCTTGTAATTGGTCTGTTTAGGTGTTCTATTTCTTCTTTATCTAGCTTTGGGTGATTGTAGAGTTGTAGGAATTTGTCCATCTCCTCTAGATTGTTGAACTTGTTTCCATATAACTGTTCATAGTAGTTACTGATTATTCTTTTGATTTCTGCTGTGTCCGTTGTGATTTCTCCTCTTTCATTTATGATTCTGTGTATTTGTGCTTTCTCCCTTTTTCCTTTGTGAGCCTGGCTAGGGGTTTGTCTATTTTATTTATTTTTTCAAAGAACCAGCTCTTGGTTTCATTGATCTTTTGGATTGTTTTTTAGTTTCAATTTCATTTATTTCTGCTTTGGTTTTTATTATTTTTTTCTTCTACTGGTTCTGGGGTTTTTTTGTTGTTCTTTTTCTAGATCTTTGAGCTTCAGATTAGGTTGTTTCTTTGAGTTCTTTCTTGTTTTTTGATGTGAGCTTCTATTGCTATATATTTTCCTCTTATTACTGCTTTTGCTGCATCCCATACATTTAGGATATTGGTGTCCTCCTTGTCATTCAATTCAAAGAATTTTTTAATTTCTTCTTTGATCTCCTCGTTAGTCCAGTGGTCTTCCAGTAGTGTGGCTTTTAATCTCCATGAGGTAGGATAGTTCCTTGCCTTCTTTTTACGATTTATTTCTAGTTTGATGCCTTCGTGGTCAGAAAAGATGGTTGGTATGATTTCAATCTTGGTGTATCTGTTGATGTTT